CCTCCAGCCAGTTGGTGACCCAATTGACTGTGTGGGTGTCGACACCACAGTCCCCCAGTTTCTTAATGAGAACAGGGTGAGAAACAGTATCAAAGGCTTTCCTAAAGTCCAGGAAGACTATGTCCACTGCTACCCCTGCATCTAATGATTTGGTGATCTAATCATAGAAGGCCACCAGGTTGGTCTGACAGGATCTGCCACTGATGAACCCATGTTGGTTGCCCCTAAGCATGAAATCCCCTGCTGGCCCCTCGCGGTTGTGTGCCAGAATAATTTTCTCAAAAAGCTTGCCTAGGATTGAGGTAAGACGAACTGGCCTATAGAAGGTCCTCCTTCTTACCCTTTTTGAAGATGGGAACCATGCTGGCCTTCTTCCAGTCCTCTGACACCACACCAGAGCACCACGAGTGCTCGTAAAGCCGTGCCAGGGGTCCTGCAATGACCTCAGCCAATTCCTTTAGTACTCTAGGGTGGAGATCGTCTGGACCGGCTGACTTGAATACATCCAGTCCCTCCACTTACTCTTCCTCTTTTGGAAGAGTTAGGAGTCTTAATTCCTTACTATTTAATATTGCAAACTCAAACTTGCATTTGAAAAGTGAACATTTTTCTGTTTGCAAGTAGAATAGGCATCACAGACCCATCAGTTACTCTCTGAGTGACAGTTGTTTGTTATCAAAATAAGTAAGGCAGAAAAGAATCCAGCTTCCTCTTCACGGCTGTATTTACTTTGCTGTAATGATGTGACTATAATGTTAGCTTTTTGTCAGTAAAGTATCTCAAAAATATTTCTCAAGGAGTACGGTGTCATTTTTAGCTTGTGACTCTTCTAAACATAATAGCAAATTAACACTCCATGCTCATTTATGCAGAACTGATGTACTTCCATTCCCATGTCTTTCAATAAAATTCTATAATGGGGATATATTCTGATGGCTCCAAACTCCAAGATACGTTAAATAGAATAGTGTAACAAATCCTAAGCATAACACAGATTTCACTATGCCACACAACATGGCTTTTCAGATGTTCCAGGAAACAGCTGGATTAAAATTTTGTCTGCTCTGAAAAGTATTTATAACTAGCATTGGGCTGAAGGAGAATCTTAATGATACAGGGCCTCTGACAAGTTGTTAAGCAATCCTTATTGCTTCCATCCACTAGAAGTCAATTGCATACATGCAATCTAAACCAGGGATGGGCAAAATACAGCCCGTGGGGCATATCTGGCCCACCAATTTATCATATCTGGCCTGAAAGCCACCACTGGGAGCTTGAGGAAAGAGGGCTGTGCCCCGTGTTGCTCCTCTCTGCTACAGCTAGCCAGACCAGATTTTGTCAGGGGTGTCAAAGTTCAATTAGTCAGTGGGCTATAATCCTTGGTTTGCAGGTATCTGCAGGCCACATGCATTCTGGCTGTGGTGGACTACCCACAGAACTGCTAGGGCTACCAGAGGTCCAAATCTTGCCAGGGCCCTGGAAACTGTGCTGAGAACCCATGCATTGTTGCCAGTTCCTACTTTGTGGGGAGGTGTTGGCATGGCCAGCAGCCAGGTGGGTTACCACAAATTCATGCTGCTCATGCCTCACTCATGCTGCTGCAGAGAAAGGTGTTGTTGCAGCCCCTACTGGAGCTGCTTCTGCTGCCATTCATCCCCATTGCTGACCACCACCAATTTCTGTGGCCACTGAAAATGAGGCACAGTAAATTTAGCAGCAGCTGCAGCAGACACCATGCCAGCACACCTGCTTTATATAATTTGACTTGGAATCTTCTTTAACTGAAACACAAAACAGAAGTCTATCAACATTCTGAACCAGCAAAAACATTCCATTTTAGTGGATCCAGGTTTTAGTGATGAGAAGCAACAAATCCTTTCCAGGTCCCCTCCTTAAAACTTTGCTTTTCCATGAAGTCTTCTAAAAAAATAAAAACCTGAACAATGGTTTGTATGCGGGTATATTGCAACCACTGCAGCTTGCTGACCGTGTCTCATTGTTGCCATGTATCCATCTTCCTGTACTTAGATTATAAACTGTGTGGGCATGGACTGTAAATAGCAGTTCAGCATAGCAATGCCTGAGCTAACTTAGGCATCCAAAGCAGTCTAGATGCATGGCATAGGGCACAGGTAATCTAGCCCACTGAGAAACAGGGTAAACTATTAAGTGCTGAGCTCCATGCTGCTGTAATGAGATCACTTCCAGCTGAGGAAGTTTTAAAACTTGCATATCTTACTACTATATTGAAGAATAGACAGATACACAAAGATGCACAGAAGAAAAATTGGGAAATGTAAGCCATATACAGAAATACAGATTTTATAAAATTAAAGTCTTAGGTAAGTTGTAATGTCATTATAGTAAAATATATTCTACATACAGCACCTGCCCCCACCAGGCTATAGCATCCAAGCAATTCAGTCCTTAATATATTAATCTGCACAACACCCATGTCAGGTGTGGAAGCATTATTATCCCCATTCCTACAGATAGGAGCTGAGGCATCAGAGACTGTACAGGCCAAATCCTATTTCATCTTCATGTGCCTAAGTGGTACTAATGTAGCCACTTGCAATTTTCAGCGCTTACATGCAGTCAAGATTGCATGAAGCCACACTCACACTACACTTCCCTTCTGAGCATGCTTAGTGCCATATAGCTGCTAAGGAGAATAGAATTACTTGGACATGTGCATAATGCCATATAGGTTCCAAAATTTTAGTTGCAGAAATACCCGGGGGTGGGGGGGAGGGGGCGGAAGAAAGGAAGGCCCCTTTGCCTTGTAATCCATTAGCTTT